CCTGCTGGGCTCAGGCAATCCTTCTGCTTCAGCCTTCCAAGTAGCTGGAACTCCAGGCATGCACCACCATGCCTGGCTCATTTTTTTATTTACTGTAGAGACGAGGTCTTGCCAAGTTGCCCAGGCTGGTCTCGAACCCCTGGGCTCAGGTAATCCTCTTGCTTCCACCTTGGCCAAGTTTAAATTTTATATTCATGTGTGATAAATGTCTCCCCCATGAGATTATAAAATACACGAGGGCAGGGACAATGTCTGACTATAATCAGCAGGATATTTCTCTTTTTTTTGAGTCAGAGTCTCACTCTGCCACCCAGGCTGGAGGGCAGTGGCATGCTCACAGTCACCCTAGCTTTGACCTGCTGGGCTCAGGCACGCGCCACCATGCCTGGCTAATTTTTTTGTTTTTATTTATTGTAGAGATGAGGTCTCGCCAAGTGGCCCAGGCTGGTCTTGAACCCATGAGCTCAGGCAATCCTCTCACTTCGGCATTCCAAAGTGCTAGGATTACAGGCGTGAACCACTGCGCCTGGCTCGGCAGGATATTTCTAATGCCTCATCCATGCCTGGTACAGAACAGACACTCGGCACACATTCACAGAACAAATGAAGAAACTGCCTCCTCATTAGGCACTGTTAGGAATGTAAATTGCTTTATCCCTTTTTTTTTTTAAATTAGGGGAAAACAGATGGATAATATATGTTTAAGCAAAGCTCAGCTGTAAACGAGACTTCCTTTTGGTAAGAGTCATGCATTTTCGTTTTATAGAATGTAAAATCAATATCACAATACAGACAATTTGTTGCAAGAAAAATACCGTCCTAGTCACTATTACGGAAACAAAAAACCGTGTGTGTTTTCGAGAAACTCTTGCAGCTCTGGCTGGAAACAAAATAAACAGCTAAACCTGTCTGTCCTTGTTTTCCCCCAGCCTGACCTATCCCAACAACCCAGAGGAGAGGGTGGCTCTGTTTTTCCCGTTTTCCTTCCTCCTGGGGAAAGTCATTTCACAAAAGACCTGCCAGAACACCAGGGTGTCCCGGGGTGGCTGGGCGTAGGGGTGGGGGGTGTAGGGGTGGGGCGGGGAGGGGGGTGAAGAGGCCGCAGCTCAGGAAGTGGACTCCCTCCTCGACCTCCCACAGTGAGAACACGGGTCGGCAGCTGCTGACACGCTGCTGCCCATCTGGAAAAGAAATGAGTCTCTTCCCTCCTTCCGATCACCTAATAATGGCTGTGAAGACCACCCTCGGGTTTCTTACCCGCAGGAAAGAAGGGAAGCCCTGTCCATAGTATCCAACAGCAAAGTATTCAGGCTGAGGCCTCATTGCCTTAATGATGTTCTCATAAAACGAGGCCCTTTTTTTCTGGAAAACAAAACAAGACATTCCACGGGGAGGTTAGAAGGACACTGCTGGGATAGAGAAAAGAACGATCAGACTGTTTGCTTTGTTGTTTCCCATGCAAGGCAGAGAAAAGAAAACACGCGATGGGCAGAAGAGGGCCATCCTTTTCTTGAATCAGACGTGCCGGATCTGGGGTCTGGGAACGGGCCTTGGAAGGCTGTGTATCCCTGAGGTCGTGTGCAGAAGTGTGTGCACACTCAAACTCTGCATAGGAAGGTAGAACTCAGCTTTCAGCAGTTTCTTGAAGGGGGTTCAGGACCCCTAAAGGGATAAATAGGGCTTTCTGAGATTCATGGAGGGTGGCCGCCCTTAATCAGAGACGCACGGAAGAAGATAAAGAACTCAGTTCATTCAAGTGGTTTGGATTAACGTTTCTGGTTCGGTTACAAGTGCCCAGAAGGTGGTGATGATGTTCTATTTTTTAGCATCTGGTACCACCTTTTTTTTTTGAGTCGGAGTCTCACTCTGTCGCCCAGACTGGAGTGCAGTGGCCGCT